ATCGATTAACATTTAATTTTGAAGACGATCCCTCAGCTTCAAATTAAATTGTAAATTTGTAATTTGTAAATATGTATTTACTTTTTACATTGTATTTGTAATTTAATAAACAATGTAAGTTTGTACAATTTGTAATTCGTCACAAAATGATTGCACTCTTTTTTCCTTGCCAAGTTTTTATCCCAATTGGGTTTTTCTTGGTAAGGTTTTTAATGAGGCAATCATGAATTACAAATTTAAAAATTAATAAAGAAATAATTTTTTTATATAGTTCGTGTGTTCATTTCAAATTTAATATATATATATATATAAATTGTAATACTAATATATATATAAATAACTTAATATTAAAAAAAAAGTTTAAAAAATTCGGGCAATTCGGGCGGGCTCGGGCCGCCCGGCCGGGCTCGGGCCGCCGAATACAAGCCCGCGGCCCGTTCAAGGTGAAATTTGGGCTCGGGCGGGCGGCCCCAAAATCTCGGGCGGGTCGGGTTCGGGCTCGGGCAAATCCTCGGGTTTTTCGGGCGGTCGCGGGCGGCCCGTCCAAAGTTTCAGCACTAGTTGCATTGTCAGTGAAATTCAGTTGTAATTTAGTTTTAATTAAAGCACGGAGTACTATCAAAATAGAGTTATTTAATAAATAAATGCTCATTCATTTCACCAATTTAAATTTAAAATTTGAGTTTTTCAGAAATAGTTACATCTAACTATTTTGTTATAATAAAAAATTATCACATAAAATCACATCTCAACTCGAATTAAAAACTCAAATTAGCGAACTAAACGAGTTCAAAAACTGGTTATTGAGATCGGTTAGTACTGTAAATGTAGCTTCTAATCAATTCGCTTAGCTGATGCTTCTAAGTAAAATATACATATATATATATATATTATAATATGAGATTAAAGGGTCGTTTAATTCATGTATTAAAATTATTTTTAATTTACGTGTATTTTTTGTGAGAGAAAGTCGACGATAAAGTCCCCGATCCCGTCGGCAAAGTCGATCCAACCGTCTTCGGTGACATTGATAAAGAGGAAGATCCTGGCGTTACTGGCACCCGCGAATACATATAAATATTATATATGTACTTATACCTTTGCATATGTATGCGTAGTATACAATAAATATGAATGTATGTCGGTCGATATGGTGTAAACTTGTTTCATGACAGTTTTAGATGTTTTCATTACCAGGGTTAATTAGCTTTATTAGAGCTTTAGCAAAAAAAAAAAAAAAAAAAAAAAGAAGCTCTATTAGAGTTCTTTACTTTCTTTGAGCAAGGTTGGGTGGAGATCTTTATATATAGATGAGTTCGTATATAGCATGGGCTTAATTGAGTTTTTGCTTAGGTTGTCCCCTGTTTTATTTAAGAACCTGTTCATTTCGTTGATTTGAGTTTGTAATTTGAGTTGAGATGTGATTTTATATGAGAATTTTTTATTGTAATAAAAAAATTAAATGTGACTGTTTCTGAGAACTTTTTATTATAATAAAATTTAAATTCTAAATTCGAATCGGTAAAATAAATGAGGCCTAATTATAATTAATAGGCATCAAAATCTTTGTTTTATTATGTGATTTCGAACCTTTTTTTTTTTTTGAGTCTGGTTTAATCTTCGGTTTGGTCAAGTAAAAAAAGTTTATCGTTTTTATTTACTTCATTATGTATTGAGCTTCAAAAACACCGGCTACGTCCTAACTGTGTGTATATTGTATTAATAAGACGTTTCATTCCTGAGTCTAAATTCACAGTTTATAATTTTAATTTTTAAAATTTAAAATTTTTTAGAACAAAATATTATAAAAAATTATAATTCAAAATGAGGAAGAAATTCTTAAAACAAACATTTTATTAACAAATGACAAGGCAGTACTAGGCTAATAGCCAACGTCCAAACTCAACAATCAAAACCATGCCCGCAACAGGTTTCTTCTAGAATATTCCAAAGTAACCGGCTGTGCACGTGAGTTGTCTGGTAGGCAGCTGATCAGAATTGTAGAATAAAATTAAGATTTTAGGTCTCGTTTATTTTGTGAATTTGAATTTTTAATTTAAGTTGAGATGTGATATTTAATAAAATTTTTTTACTGTAACAAAAAAAGTTAAATGTGATATTTTTTGAGAGTTTTTTACTATAAAAACTTAAAATTGAAAACTTGAATCGATAAAATGAACGAAACATTAATTTTTCTCTTTTTTTTAGGAAAATAATTAAATCCAAATTTTATATTTATAAATTTTTCCTCAAAATTTATTTATAAAATATATCCTGACATGATTGTGAAATTTAAATTAAAAATATAATGTTGTGATTTAGGCTATTTAGTTTATTATAACGAATTAAATTATTTTTTATTTTTATATAGAAGAGTTTGAAAATTTTAATTTTTATAAGATCCATGACTATGTTGGAGTCGAATGAAAATTGCCGCTTTTATTACTATTATTTTTAAAAAACTATAGTGCTCTTTTAACATTTTTTTTTTTGAATAAAAACCCCTTTTAACATTTTTGCACGGTAAAAGTGACCTCACTTTGTTTTTTTTAGCACATTTACTTCATAAACTTGTCATAGTTTACTAAATTGGCCCGAAACGTGTGTAATTTTGATAATTTACCTTCTCAACTGATAAAGTTATTATAATATGCTTAATTTTAACGATGATTATTTTAAATTAGTGTAAAAAAAAAACACATTCAGTAAAAAATTTTAACATTATAATTCAAATATAACGTAATTTTTAATATCTCAATTTTTAATCTCTTAAATTTATCTAATAAAAATTTAAATAAATTTAGTTAAATAGGGTACATTGTAATAAATTTTTAAATTCACGAATAGTTTATTAAAATTAAAAATTTAAGAAGTAATTTATTAAATCACGATAAGTTACAATTTTTAAATTCATGAATAGTTTATTAAAATTAAAAATTTAAGAGGTAATTTATTAAATCACGATAAATTTAGAGGATAATTGTGCTAAAATTACTTACTTATAAGCATGCCCAAGTGAAGAAAAAAAAGACACAAGTAAAAAATTTGAATTACATATTATCCACTATTTATTATTATTATTAAATTAGCTGTAGAAGATTTTAATTTTTAACTCTAGAATAAAAACAAAAATTTTTACTGAAGTAGTGTTAGCGAGATTATCAGGTGCAAATTTTTTTTATTTTTATTTTTATTAGCGCTTGTCAGTTAGCACATAGCGATGGCAACAGTGTGATTAATACGCTTTTAAACCCCAATTTCCACTCCAATGGCGGGCCATCTCTACGGCTTTGGAGCCGCACAATCTGCTGCTGCTTCCGGTCTCTCCAGCATCTACGCTGCCGCCGCCAATTCCCGTGCCCTAACGGAGCCTTACTTCCCCGCCTCTCTGGCCTCCTCCGATCCCTCCAACTACCCCGCCGCCGCCGCCATGTTTCTCTCCCACACCGATCCCTATGCTTCGCATTTGACCTCCCTCGCTTCCTGGCACTCCGCCGCCGACGACAACTCCGCCGCCGGCATCAAACGCTCCTCTGAAGGTTCTTGCTTCTTATCTCTTTCTTTCAGTCTTTAAATGAAAACTATTTGTTCGATTTTTTTTGGGGGAAAATGGTGATATAATACCGTGCCTTGATTTCTCATTGCTCCGAATTCGTTGTCAATTCGTTTGGTTTGGTTGACGATCTGATTTTTTAATCTGAGAGGAAAAGAAAACCAACAAATGTTCGTTACTGGTGTTAATTCTTTTTAATTGTTTCTCATTACTGTTTGGTTTCTGAGAAAATAGCGAGAATTTTTAGTAATTTAGATCATCAAAATTGGCATAAGTTAGGTGCTGTCTCCAAGTGCAATGTTGTACATTGTCAACCTAAAGTTAGAGTCTTATCTGTAGGTAATGCTGCTCGTTTGGTTATCAGTTGTTTGATTTATCATTGCTTGGGGTTATGAAATAAGTTGAGCGTTGCAATTGTAGTATCCACTGTAGTAAAATGCGGTGATTATTCTTGGTGTTAATCTTATTGTGCGTCGCTGAAGCTTTTCTTGCATTTTTGCACCATGAGTATGTTTGTTTTAAAGCCAATATGGGTATGCCGGTTGAGCTAATTTGTCTGTACTACTTTTCTTTTTGTGTTTGTATCTAAGTTTAACCGTATTCATCATTGAAAGTTTATTTGAAGAATGATTATAATTCCTTGGAGGGCTATCTAGAAAGAGAGATATGGGGACTGGGGTGGGAGGAATTTAGAGCTTTGAGAATTGTTTATTATTGTTGTTGTGTTTTCAAGTTATGGGGTCATTCTTCTGTTGAGTTTTTAGATTTTTTTGTTTTGTTTTGAAATTGTTGAGTTTTTGATTGCGCGATGAGGATTTCCTGGAGAAGGTTATCTTCTTTGCTGTGAGTACATTTTCCTTATTGAAAAAAGTGCTTGGTTTTGTTTTGGTCGTTTTTTTTTTTTTTTTTTTTTTTTCAGTCATTTGGAATGGATTTTAATAATGAAAATTAGAGCAAAACATAGCTACACAACTCAGTTTGGTAAGGTGAAAATAAGCAATCCCGCACTGTATGATAAGGATTACTTGGAAGGACCATTTTTTTTTTACAAAAGGAAAACAGAAACTAAGTAACTGACCCTTGGAAGGAGCAAACTGAAACAATGTTGTTAGCCTTATAATATTTTTCCTTCTGAATAATTATTTTCGAGCCTCTGGCTATGGAAGTTGCTAGAACTTTTTTAAGTCATGTGCAAATTGCATTTGTGAACTTTTCTCATTCAGCCTTTTGTAGTTTTACTCTGTTTTCCATGTCCAGTATTGCGATAAGGTGAATTGCTGCTTAGTTTGAAGCATTCAGGAGGGTCTAGATCAACAAGAATACAGAAGGCATTTATGTTAATTATTAATTTTCCTGATCCCCTATCTACTTATTTTAAGGGGCAAATACAACTCTTAGGACGTTTCTATCTACAATATTGATGTTTCATGACTGCATCCTTATCATGGGACTATATCTACACCCTAATTATGCAACTAAATACACATTTTTCAGAACAATGATAGGGTTGAAAATATCGTAATTTTATCGCTTTAGTAGCATATCTCGTTATTTGACATATATCTAAAGGCTGGCTTCCTTATAGGGGTAAAACACGTGAAGAGAATTTGAGTTCTTGGTTTATCATATTTGGGCATCTGAGTGTTGGATCTAAGAGCATATAAACATATATTATGCCATTTTAAAATATAATAATGTCATCAAAAGAAATAGATGCGCCTAATGAAGCTTAAAAAGGGAGGGACAGATAGTTTTTCTATTCAACTTCTTGAAAAACCCAGTTAATAACAATATTTTATCTGCATTCCATTCCATAAACTATTTTCCCCAATTTAATTCTATGCATACTTTGATTATTTATCTACTTATCTAAAAGTAGTTTTAAGCTATAGCTATATTCTGATTTTCTTGTATATACTCATCTACTATGTACTATAGCACTCTATCATCCGACTGTTTTGGGTGCCCCTAATACAATTGGGCAAAGTGAAGCTTGGTATTCTACAACCGCTTTGGCCAAGCGCTTTAAATATGAGGGTGCAAGCAATTTGCCTATATATCCACAGAGGCCAGGAGAGAAGGACTGTGCCCACTATATGCTCACAAGAACCTGTAAATTTGGAGATAGCTGCAAGTTTGACCATCCTATTTGGGTTCCTGAAGGTGGAATCCCAGATTGGAAAGAGGTGACCGTTTATTACAATATTTATGCCTATGATAATATTCTATTAGTATATACATATAACGATTTTGTATATATGTTTTTCCTTTTAAATTCTTATTCTGGTTCCATTTCTTTTCTTGAGAAAGTTCACCTTATATGATATTCACAACTTATTAGTATTTTGATAACAAATTATATTTATTTTTTGATGCTAACACTTGTAGTAGAATTGGTCCCAGGTTCGAACCTGGGGGTGGGGTGTTGCCAAAGGGGGCTTTTTAGTTTTTGATGCTAACGAGTGGATTGCACACAGTTAGAATTTTTATTTTGTTAGCCCCTGGATCAGAAGAGGATAGGCTTTGAAGTTGTTTTTCTGACTAATCTGATGCAGATCAGAATAGGAAAGGCCAGCACTTTCTGTTTTTGATGTTCTAACTTCTTTTGGAAATGAAAAACTTAGTGGGTCCAGTATACGGAGTTTCATCAATTGATAGTTTTTAAACATCTTTACCTAGTTCTCAATGTTTCACGGGTCAGCTTTGACCAACACAGAATAGTTAAGAGAATTTGGGAACTCGATTTTTTTAATAAAGTTTTTCTATTGGAAACCTTCATAAAGATAATAACACCATGAGTGTGATACAGAAATGTGGTCTGCTTGGTAAAATTGGTATCTCCACGAATGAGTTGCATAAATGAGGCCAATGTATTAAGATATTGACAGTCTAGAAATTTCCGGAAAGTATTTTTAACATGTGAAGACTACTTAAGATACTGATAATAGAGAAAATTATTGATCTAAATTTTATTCAAATATTTTTCTGTAGAGTTGTGTACGAGACTTCTTTTGTTGGTATTATTATTGTTGTTGTTGTTGTTGTTATTACTATTACTATCATTGAAGTTCTAAAAAATGTGAATTTTAAGCAATGGTTGCATCAATTCACGTCAAAAAACCTCATCTCTGGGAGCAACTTGCAAATAGTTGTTTCTTTTCTTTTTTAATTACATTTTTCATCTTTAAACCCATTTCACTTTATTTATGTTTGACTAGATTCAGGAATTGCTCATACTTTTTGTAGGTGAATTTTGAATCCTTAGTACATAATAAATATATTCCTGCAAACTAGCATATAATCAATGGGATGCTTACTTTTCAAAACTTTGATATGCCGGCCATCTTTGTTGCATTCTATACTCAATTCTGAGCTATTCTGTGTCCATTCAAATGTAAATGATATTCTGTGTTCGTTTCTTTAGTCAGTTGTGTGTTGTTGGCCTCGGATAGTTTTGTTTTGTTTTTACTGTTTATTGTTTTTGCTGGGTCTGTTTTTCTGAGGAATCCTCTCCCTCTCGCCCCTTGCATATTATTTTTTCTTCATTAATAATAGTTTCAGTTTCTTTTCAAAAAAAGGAAAAAAAAAAAAAATTCAAACATAACTGATATGGACAATTCTGGTAATATGTTTGGAAATGTAGCTTACATGGTCTAATGGGCGTTTTCCAACAGTTCATGGAAAAAGGAAGAGAATCAACAGATAGCATTGTTATTGCATAGTATGTCTTTTGGTGAATGTTATAGGGAGCTTTTCTGATCTGTTCTTATTGCTGCATGTTTGTATGTGCAATTATATGCATATTAAGATAAGCTTTGGTGGCATCTTCCCCGTTTTCCTGAATTACTAGCACTTAATCCTAAGACCATGCTAATCGTGTAAAAAGTTCACAATCTTGTACAACATTCTACGTAAAAGTTGAAACAGTATCGTCATTTATGCCTACGATTAGTCAATTTTGAACGTTTCTGGAACTGACTCTATCACACTGCAATTTCTTTTTTCTTACTTTTTTTTTTTTTTTTTTTTTGGGGGGGGGGGTAAGAAACACTATTTATTATGTCATAAAGAATCATGAGGTACAAAGGAGGACTGGATATCCACCTGAATAAAAAAGGGAAAAAAAGATTTAAAAAAACTAAGAATACAAAATAACAATATGAGTAGACTATGTGAACAAATGCCACTCTCTAAGCGATTGAAAATTACTAAAAGCTTTATCAGATGCATTCACACTGCAACCATAATCTTCACTTTTTCCTGCAGCTCGCTGACATTTCCTTCTACGCTACATCTTCAAAATTCCTCTTATTCCTTTCTACCTAAATTGTGCAACACAAAAAAATAGCAGTTTTCCAAATCTTTTCTCCTCTCGTTGAAACTTGCAATTTTGCTTTCTTGATTTTCACGTATGGAATATTTTTTAGCTTTAGAAATTGTAGTATATTATGTGTCGCTCAGAGTTTGTATTTGCCGTTTGTAATTGTTATTTTGCCACTTCCAAAACTGTATTCATCATTCTAACGAGTTAAAGAATCCTGTTCATTTAGATACCACCTATTGCTAGTGAAGCACTTCCTGAGAGACTGGGGCAGCCAGATTGTCCAGTAAGTTTCATTTTAAACTGTGTATCACTTTAGACAATTGTATATGCATTTACATAGTTAAAGCATGCAATACTCTCCTTGTTGTATTTATTGCAGTACTTTCTGAAGACTCAAAGATGTAAATTTGGTTTGAGATGCAAGTTTAACCATCCAAAAGATAAACTGGCTGCTGAAGTGAGTACAAGTTGACATGGGGATTTGCTTGATTTGTCTATTGTGTGATTTTATATCCCTTGGTTATGATGGTACATCCTCTACTGTGGTTTTAGGGTGCTTCAGAAAATGGTGACGTCACTGGCTTACCGGAGAGGCCTTCTGAAGCTCCATGTGCTGTAAGATAAATTATCTATGCTTTTCAGTTGGATTATTATCTGCTTCTCTGCATTGTTGATCTGGTAATCCTGCATGCATAACTTGTGTGTACGTAAACATATATCCCTAAATTGCAATCTTGAGCAGTTTTACTTGAAGACTGGAACATGCAAATTCGGTTCAACGTGCAAATTCCATCATCCAAAAGACATCCAGTTACCATCAGCTGGGCATGACAATGGATCTAGCCAACATGAATCAGCTAAGAAAGAGGGAACAGCTGGAGATTCAAATGTTTTGAAATCTTGTGTTTCATTCATCCCAGCAATATATTACAACACCAAAGAACTTCCTATAAGGCCGGTAATGCAGTTTTTTATAATTATGGAAAGTTGTTAATGAGCCTTAGTATTTTGGATGCACAAGCATATTGCAATTTTGTTTTTTTCCTTTCCGGGGAAATATTTTGGGGGAGGCGGTAATGCAGCTTTGGTAAATTAGTGTTATAGTTGCTTTCTCTCTTTGGGCAATTTTACAATTTTATTGGGAGTCTTAACATACAAGCAACGTTTTGAAATCAGTCTTGAGTTGGATCATAGTACTATATGATCCAAAAATAATGCTACATATAATGTGATTAATGATTCTGACGGTAAAAATCTTTATTGAAGTATCCATATAATTTTGAAAGGAAATGTAATTAAAGAAGTTATATTTCTCTAGCAACAAGTCAAGTTCTTTGCTTTTGGCTGGAGTAAAGCAAGATTGAAAAGGTTGAGAAAAGAAGACCATGACTCATGAAAAGATAAAGGGAAGGAGGGAATAATGAATGAGAGGCAACTGGCAGGCATTGTTAGTAAGAAAGGAAAAAAGAAAGAAAAAATTGGTTGGAAGGGGAGGAAATATCGGGAATATGAATAGATGGTACAAAATCCCAAGGGTTTATCGTGAAGGGTGTCCCAATATATATATATATTTATTTTTTTTTCTGAATTCCTTTTAGTTTTTAGAGTTTGTTTCGCTGGTGAATTTCCAGACTCTGAGTGAACCCTATAATAAAGAAGCTATGGCCTGAGAATAAAATTTGCCAGTAGGATAACGTTTCCAGGATTAGTAGGATCCTCCATGATTGTAGTTCCTGCCAATAACACATTTCCCCTTTTCTAGTTCTTATCTTACCTTGATCCTGTTTCCCAACTATATGATTGTATGATCCTGCCAATATCTCTTCTACAAGTGCTAAATTTTGCTTCATGAGGGTCAGAAGCAGAGATGGGTTGAATTATTGAATAGGTTTAGCTTGCCTATGCTTCTGTCAAGCTGTCAAGATGACATTTTTCTTTTCTTGTTTCTTTGCTTTTAATGTTCATAATATAGCAACTTCATTAATTGTATATTTCATTCTCACAGGGTGAACCAGATTGTCCATTCTACCTTAAAACTGGCAGGTTAAACATGTTTACTTTTGTTAACTAGTTTTGACCAAAATATAAAATCAGCAGAAATGGTTCACTTTTTTTTTTCTTTTCCTTTTTTCTTTGGTGAATCAGTTGCAAGTATGGTGCCACTTGCCGGTACAATCATCCTGACAGGCTGGGTATGTGCACGATTACAGTGTTCATTTTCTGATTCATTTTTGTATCTTGTTTCGAGTGTTTATTAAATAGTGCCCTTCCCTATTTCTTTGCTGAGCTATTTTGTGCTATCAATCCCCCAGCTTCTTCAATTGGCCATGCCATTGTAGCTTCTCCGGCAGCTGGTCTGAACATTGTCAATTCTGTTGCTTCTCTATATCAGACAATTGACCCCAGATTGGCTCAGGCAACGGTAAATGGTTTTGTTTTGTTTTGTTGTTATATATGTGTGTGTGTGTGTGTGTGTGTGTGTGTGTGTGTATAAATCCGTTTCTAGTGAATTGTGTCATTTTATTTGAAGTGATGTTGGGATTACATCATTTAATCTCTCTAACGCAAAACCTCCAAACACGCACACCTTAGATGCAGGCTGACGCATAAGTGATCATGTGTTTTATTACTATTAGGGTAATTATCATCCTATTAACTTGTGACTCTTTTTTTTTGGTTCAAATATTACAAAGGTCTGTGTGTTCTTAAAAATATTATATTGGTACTTGCGAGTTTAAAATGTGTTGCCCGAGTACCAAAATACCTTTTTCTTTTTTTTTTTTAAAATAAGAAAAAGACGCTTTTTACTGATGTGAAACAAAGCAAAGAGGACAAGGAGTCCTTGAGGAGCAGAAAAACCAAAAAAGCCAAAACAAAAACTCAAACCAGAAAAGACAACAAGGAAAGAGGGAGGGGGAGGGAACTCAATGGCCAATAACATCCACCCAAATAACGATAATCAAAGCAAAGGGGTAATCTTTTAACTCTGTCTGTTAACGCCTGTATCGATGCATAGTACTTTGCCTTCTTAAACAAATCTTCTGCCCTCGTCTCTTTATCATTGAAGATTCGTGAACTTCTCTCCATCCATAAAGTCACACATGAGTGAGATCACCATACACTTCCATAAGACCTTCACCATTCTCTGTGTCCCGAAACCAACCATCTCTTCCATCATTAAAGAATTACAATGTGCCAAAAACATCCACGGAAAGCATGCCTTAAGGAACAGCTCATGCCATAATTCCCTAGCCACACGGCAGTGCAATAGAATGTAGTCTAAGGTTTGCCTTAAGGAACATCTCATGCCATAATTCCCTAGCCACACGGCAGTGCAATAGAATGTAGTCTAAGGTTTCCCCTCTCTTTCGCACATGACATACCAGGAAGGAGAAAGATGCACTCGGAAATTGGTTATTAGTTGTTGTTGGAGGGTAATTAATACGATTAGTAGTTATTAGTTGTTTGTCGATAGTGATGTAGTGTGGAAGCATACTAGAAAGATGCACTCGGAAAAAGAAAACAACTTTCCAGAATTTGTTGGTTCGCGCAAAATACCGGAGATAGAGCGTCTACCAACCTATTGATTCACTCATGAATGCCAGTAAAATAAAGATAGAAACAAAACTTGTTAAGTGTAACGAGTATTTTATTAATCGAACTCCTAAAAAAGCTCAACATAAGGTTCCCTATTTATAGGAGCCAAATCCTAAAGCAAATCTAATTCCTAATTTGAAAACCAATCTAATTCCTAAAATAAAGATGATACTGAATTTAATACTCAATAATATGAAGATAAATAACTAAAGATCATCCTAAAAATAATTCTAATAAGATAATGGTAATCCCCCAAATGTCTTAATTTTGCCACTGCCTCACACTCTCAGGGGTGGAGAGAGTCGCCCTCGAATCCATAGTAGCTTCAAATCTTGACCTCTTGTTGTTCCAATTGCATTGATATGGTCACATTCACAATCCCACACGATCTAGGCGTCTCCTCGCTGACATGCTTTAGGAGCATAGCAAGGCTCTGATACGAAATGATGTAACCTAGAAGCATACAAGAAAAATGCACACAGAAAAAGGATATGACCTTCCTAAAATTTGTCAATTCTACTTGATTTCTCTTGCTATTGTGCGTGTATGTGTTTTGGGTTCTTATCAAGTTGTATCAGAGCATTTGATATAGGCATTGCTGAAATATGGATGGACGAGTTGAGGCGAGGGAACATAAATGCTTGCCGGTTGTTCTCGAGTTAAAAGGTGGGTGTTTTTGAGATTTAGGTTCACTCAATAAAGAAATCCTTGTGAGAAATTTATGGCCAGCAAGAAGGCTTGGTAAAGTAGGTGCAATTCCGATAATTCTGAAGTCTTTGCCGCTCCATTAAAGGAGATTTCGGAGCAGCTGTTAAGGAAAGCAATTTTATCAGTGGTCTTCAAGTGGAATAGTTGTCATTGTAACTGATTTGGGTGTGGGGAAAGGGTTGTTGTAACTAATTAATAATTGTTTAGTAGTTTGTTAGAGTGGAATTAGTGCGTAATTGATTAGTACTTCTTGTTAGTAGTTTTTATAGGGGAAGTGGACAAAATTGAGGATTATTCGTTAGTGGGAGGGAAGGTGGATTATTAGGGGACTTAGTTACTTGGGAAATCAAGTGTGTGAGTGAGTAGACTCGAATATTTGCTGCTCTAGGAATTTTCACTCATTTGCCTTGGGTTTCTGTTAGGTACTAAGTAATAGAGTTAGTAATTAGTGATTAGTTAAAGGGCTTAATTCACTAGAGGGTCATTGTTAGCAATTTGTTGGAATGCACCATTGTATTTGGAGTCTTGATTAGTGGTTGTAGTTTTTGTGATTATTTCAATAAGATTCAGTTCAATTTCTCAGTGATTGTGCTTGGGATCCTAACAGTTTCCATTTCTTTAATTAAACTTCTACTGAAATGTCTACTTGATTTCTCTTGCTATTGTGTGTTCCATCCACCCTCCATCTTACTCTCCCAAGAATCGGTTCCAGACCCTGTGTAATAAATTTCTATGGGTTTCTATGTGTATCTCTAGCAACAATGTTAAAATCCCAGTTATTAGATTGTAATCCACACTTCCTTCTAATGACCGTGGCCCATACGGAACCAAGAAGACTCTAACTTGAACATGGGAGTTGATCTGCAAAGACTGAATCTTTATTGATGAAGTAATTGGAAGATTACACAGAAAACCCTAATAGTGGTGTGTATTTGGGAGACCACTAGCTCTCCCAAAGTTTCCTCAAATTTCCCACTAATCAGACCTCCTTTCATGAGCTACTAACCCCCTTGTTTATACTACTCTTTCTTACTAACAAACTACTAATTCCCTTAAACCAACTAACAAGTCCTATCAGGAACCTTCTTTTCTCTTTAATATTGTTATCGTTACTTTTTTCATTAGTTTACTGTTACCTAATTATGTTATTTTGACTGTGCCTTATTTGGATGGAAAGGAGTGCTAGGACTTTTGAAGATAGGGAAATGGAGTTTAGGGATCCATTTGCGAAAGTGAAGTTTTCAGCTTCTTTATGGGCCTCGATGAATAAAGCCTTTAAAGATCTAGTTAGAAGTGTCTATTGTCTTCTCTAATAATAGCTACTTAGCTACACTATTTATTGTATCCTATTTTTAGTCTGTTTAGTATTAGTTGGTAGATACAATTAATATCTAATCCCTGTATATGTTAGTGTTTTTCCTGAGTAATAAAACATAACAGAGGTATTTTTCACTTATATGGTATCAGAGCAAGACTTAGATATCTTGTTACCTTCTTGTGGCCTTCATTGCCATCTTTTCCGGGGTGCCTTTATTGCCGCCGATCACTCTACTTCTGGCGACCTTCATTGTTGCCTATTTTCCTAGGGTTTATTCCCTAGCTCTGTTACTACCCTTGCCCCACTTTCTAGGGTTTTGTTGCTTTCAGACCCAACACTGCGCCGTCCAGATCGCTGCCTCCGCCAGTACGCCGCTGCCTCTTCTGTTAGGGTTTGCTAAAAGCGCAACCTAGATCTGTTTGCAGACCTCAGAGCCCAGATCGCCTAGGGTTTCGGATCTCGTCGACAGTCGTCCGCCTCTGGTTTGTAGTTCCTTTCACCTTCTGCTTCTTCTAACCAAATAAAGAAGATATTTGGTCTTTGTGCAAGCTGGGTGTTGGGTGTTTTTTTTTTCCTATATATATATTTCCAAGATGTTAGCATCCAAAATTTCCTCCGGTGTATCATCAGAAATTTCTCAACATCCCACAGTTTATTCTGAAAACCCAACCCTTCAGCTTACTACCTATAGACTAAATGAAAAAAATTTCATGGCATGGTCCTAATCAGCAATCATTTCTCTAAGGGGCAAAGGCTGATTCAAGTGCATCTCCGGATCTGTCCAACAACCACCTGAAGATGATCCTAAATATGAGATGTCTAACAACCACCTGAAGATGATCCTAAATATGAGATGTGGGAAGCTGAAAACGCTATGGTAATGTTCTGGCGTTTACATTCCATGATCCCAGAGATTAGCAGGACGTACATGTTGCTCCCCACAGTGAAATCCATTTGGGATGCCGTGAACAAGACCAATTCCAAAACCGGGTTCGCTTCAGAGATTTGTCAAATCAAGAAACAGATCACTCAAACTCACTAAGGAACTGTAGACGTCACAACATACTTCTACACTCTCAAAGGTTTGTTGGCTGAACTTGATCTTTACTAAAAACTTGAGTTTGAATGTGCTCTTGATGCAAAGAAGATTAAGGATCTCATGGATCAATGGTCGCAATAGGCTACACTCAGACTTATAGAATCGACTACCTTGAAACATTTGCTCCAGTAGCCAAGATTAACACTATCAATTCTCTTATCACTGGCAGCAACAAAGGAGTGGCCCTTAACACCAACTTGACGTGAAGAATGCCTTTCTACATGGGGATGTGGAGGAAGAAGTGTATATGGATATTCCTCCAAGGTATCAAGAAAGTCAGAGGCAATAAAGTGTGTTAGACTGAAGAAGTCCCTTTTTGGTTTGAAGCAATCGCCTCGAGCATGATTTGGAAGATTCTCTTGAGCTATGCGAAACCGAGACTACTTTCAGAGTCAAGGTTATCACACCCAGTTCATAAAAGGGTCAGGAAATGGAAAGCTCACAGCTTTGATTGTGTATGTTGATAATATCATTGTGACGGGTGATGACAACGAGGAGATAGCTGGATTGAAGACCTATCTTTCCCCGGAATTTGAAATCAAGGATTTAGGGAGCTTGCGTTCTTAGGAATTGAAGTGGCTCGATCAAGACATGGGATCTACATCTCACAATAGAAATACACTCAAGACTTACTTCAAGAAGCAGGAGTGACTGGATGTAAACCAAGTGATACTCTGATTGAGGCGAACCATTGTCTTGGGGAAATCACAGGGGAAGAACCAGTTGACAAAGGTGAGTATCAGAGGATGGTAGGAAAGCTCATCTACTTATCTCACATAAGACCCGACATTGCCTATGCTGTAAGCGTAGTGAGTCAATTTATGCATGCTCCTTTAAAACCTCATTTAGAAGTCACACATCAAAATCCTAAGATATCTGAAAGGTTCTCCGGGGAAAGGTCTTCTATTTTGCAAGAATGAGAAACTACAGGCATAAGCTTACACTGATGCTGAAATGGATCGACGATCTACTACTGGATACTGCATCTTTCTTGGAGGCAACTTGGTCTCTTGGAGAAGCAAGAAACAACCGACAACCAATTGTAGCTCGTTCTAGTGTTGAGGTAGAATTTCGTGCTATGGCACAAGGAATATGTGAACTACCTTGGCTAAAGATTATTATGTCAGACTTACAAATCAACATTGATGGTCCCATGATGCTCTATTGTGACAACAAAGCAGCCATTGACATTGTTCACAACCCTATACAGCATGATCACACAAAGCACGTGGAGGTTGATCGACACTTTATCAAGGAGAAGATTGAATCTGGGTTAATTTGTACACCATATGTACCTTCTCACTGTCAGCTTGTAGATGCTCTCACCAAAGGGTTTCCGAGTTCAACATTTCAACATCTGATAAGCAAGCTTGGAATGCAAAGTATCTTCGCATTAGCTTGAGGGGGAGTGTTAGAAGTCTCTAGGATCGTCTTCTCTAATAATAGCTACTTAGCTACACTATTTATTGTATCCTATTTTTAGTCTGTTTAGTATTAGTTGGTAGATACAATTGATGTCTAATCCTTGTATATATTAGTGTTTTTCCTAAGTAATAAAACATTATAGAGGTATTTTCACTTATAGATCTTTACTTTTTCTTTGATTGTTTGGAATATGAAGGATTTTATAGGAGGCTAACTGTCATGTATTTTTTAGGGTTTTTGTTGTGTGGCCTATTTTTATTTCTTTTAGTGTTGTGTTAACACTTTCTCCCCAATTTACAGAACTTCATCTTGGTGCATTATTTGTTTGCTTGTTGCAGGTGGGAGTGGGCCCAAATGTTTACCCTCAACGCCCTGGACAGCTTGAATGTGATGTGAGCATTTTGAAACTTATTTGTTATATTTTTCTATTTATTGCCTACTCCAAAATTTAATTTGGGATGCATAAAACAACTTTAAAAGTGGAATGTTGGACGTCATTGAAAAGTTGGTTTAGCATATCCGTTTCTATGACAACTTTTATTTATTGTTAAACAATTTTCTCGTTTAGGAAACCGAACTTGCTTGTATGTTTTTTAAACGCAGACTCATGTATTGATCTTCCACCACACGAGTGAAGTTTGAAAATTTTATCTTACTTTAGTTTGAAGGAAACAAACAAAAGAAAATGTTAGTTATTAGTGAGAAAAGTATGATCTTTTCCCGAATTCTATAATATGCAGATTCATGCAACAAAGGTATCTGTTTCCTCTGTTTGTATATAGAGATGTTTAACTGTCTGTGCATGTTCTTTTGATGAATTTCTTTTTTTTTTTAATTACTTACTCCATCAATGAATTATTGAGTTTTTATAATGCTGTCATGCAAGTATTGTGCTTTTTTCAATGATTGCAGTACTATATGAAGACTGGGGAATGTAAATTTGGTGAGCGATGCAAGTTCCATCACCCCATGGATCGGTTAGCATCAACGCAGTTAGCCGGGCAAGCTCAGCAACAAATTGTTAAGCTCACTCTTGCGGGTCTCCCTAGGAGAGAGGTATGCTTTATTTTTATTTGGGATCGTTTAAGGGGGGAATGCGTCATGCGCTCAGGGTAATTCGTCTCACGAGGAGGGAGGTTAGGCTCCATAGTCGAAGAGACGTCCCACGATTTGAGAGCATATCATATTCGGTTGCCGCCTAAAAAGAAGGGTTTTTCTGTTTCCTTATCCAATAAATTCGGAGTTCTAGAAGATTCTAATCAGGTCATGGGGGTTGAATACGTTCCATGCAATCAAGCCCATTCTGAGCCTGGGTTGTTATTAGGTGGGCCTAGCTCAACAGATCATAAGGCTGATGCTTTGGAATTGGGTTTTGGTAAGGCCCCTTCAAAACCAGTTAATTTTAGCAAAAAGCAAATGGGCCTCAGGTGGAGGCCCAAAAAGAAAGGTGATTTTATTAGGGCCAAAATAAAGAAGTGGGAAGACAATTTTCTGAGGAGGAAACCCAGGAATCCGGTTCTACATTATTCCAGCGATGGGGAGTTAGAAAAGCACCGAATAAAACCTTATCCCCTTTTTTATCGATGATCTAGGTATTTCCAAAAAGGTCTAAACGCTCAGAAGATGGAGAAGGAGGTCAATTTCATCCCAGATCTGCCTGGGGTCGATTCGGAGGAAGATTTTGTTGCAGATTCGGAGGAAGGGGCTCTGACGTTAATTGACACGGAGGTAATTTGGATGAGGACGCTGACAGTTCTCGTTCAGTTTCTTCGTTTTCATCTTCAAAAGCTGATGCGGGGGAGCAAGGAAATTTCGTCAGGCTGGAGGATGTGAGGCTTCTCATTGCACCTAATGTGGACCAGCGGGTAAGTCCCACTCCTATGGGAGGTTTCTGAGGATCGAGTGTTATATCTCTCTCCATTAGCCTCGCTGGCTCCACCAGAATTGGATAATATTTTGAATGATATGAGGGCAGTGACGGTTCTGGAAAGTAAGGAAGCAAAGTTTTCAGTTTCGGCAAAGAGAAGGACATGCTCCAAGAATGAAAATTGGGAACTATCTTTGGCAAACAAGAGTAGCACGGTGAAAATTGGTGGAAAGGAAGTTGCAGCAGCAACAACAACAAGCCTTAATCCCAACTTAATTGGGGTCGGCTATATGGATTTTATTTTTTCACACAGCTCTGTTCGAAATTATATTTTCTTGAAGGCCTAGATCTAGAATGTATTTCCTAACGACTTCGGTCCACGTAATTCTTGGTCTACCCATCTCTCTTAGTATTAGGTATAAGAATGTCCTCACAAGCACAGACTGGTGCTTCTAGCGGTCTACGTTGGACATGTCCGAACCACCTCAAGCGGCCTTCGCGCACCTTATCTTCTATTGGTGCTACACCTATTTTACTACGAATAACTTCATTTCTTATGCGATCCATTCTCGTATGACCACTCATCCATCTTAATATACACATTTCTGCCACACTCATCTTAGATATATATTGTCTCTTAATGGCCCAACATTCAGTACCATATAACATAGTTGGCGGATTACAGTCCTATAGAACTTTCCTTTCAACTTAATAGGCATCATAAAACTCCCGTAGCATTCTTCCATTTAACCCACCATGCTTTAATCCTATGTTGAATATCCTATTCTATATCTCCTTCGTACTGCAATCCTATAGAACTTTCCTTTCAACTTAATAGGCATCATAAAACTCCCGTAGCATTCTTCCATTTAACCCACCCTGCTTTAATCCTATGTTGAATATCCTATTCTATATCTCCTTCGTACTGCACTATAGACCCAAGGTACTTAAACTTCCTATAAGCTCCAATCTCCACACCATCTAAAGAAATTTCATCACTCCGATTACTTGAGTTACTAAACCTACAGTGCATGTATTCAGTTTTAGTCCTACTTAACTTAAATCCCTTCGTCTCGAGAGTCTGTCTCCACAGTTCTAACTTACGGTTAACTCCTTCCCTATGTTCATCAACTAAAACTATATCATCCGCAAAAAACATACACCAAGGAACTCTATCTTGGGTTTCTCTTGTCAGCTCATCCATCACGATGGTGAAAAGATAAGGACTAAGAGCAGATCCTTGATTAAGGCCGATCCGAATGGGGAACTCTGTTGTGTAGCCTCCAGCAGTCCTTACACTTGTGACCACCCCATCGTACATGTCTTTAATTATCTTAATATATCTCACATGCACTCCTCTCTTTTCTAGCACCCACTATAAAACTTCCCTCGGCACCCTATCATATGCCTTTTCTAAATCTATAAAGACCATATGTAGGTTTGTCTTGGCTTCTCTGTACCTTTCCATCAGCATCCTAAGAAGAAAAATGGCTTCCGTGGTTGATTTGCCTGGCATGAAGCCAAATTGGTTACCTGAGATGGTAGTTGTGGCCCTTAATCTCCTTTCGATAACTCTCTCTCAAAGTTTCATAGTGTGGCTTATGAACTTTATGCCTCTATAATTGTTACAATTCATAACATCTCCTTTATTCTTGAAGACGGGGACAAGAATACTTTTCCTCCATGCATCAGGCATATGCTTCTTCTTTAGTATCTCATTAAAAAACTTAGTGGGCCACACAATTTCAACATCTCCTAACGCCATCCAAACCTCTATTGGAATATCATCTGGCCCACATGCCTTCCCCTTTTTCATCTTCCGTAGTGCAGTTGTAACTTCTGAGACTCTGATTCCTCTTGTATACATCACATTAGGTTCTCCTTGTGACTTAAGATTGCCAAACTCTATCGCATGATCATCATTATAAAGCTTCTCAAAGTAACTCTTCCACCTTTCCCTAATGTCTTTATCTCTTGTAAGAACTTGATCCGTATCATCCTTAACACACCTCACTTGATTTAGGTCCTAACACTTCCTTTCTCTTATCTTAGCTAATATATATCACTCTCTCATTCTCTAGTCCCAAGTTTCCTATATACTTCATCTAAGTAAGTAAAACGAGCCTTACCAACTGCTCGCTTAGTTTTTCTTTTCGTTTCTTTGTACTTATTAAAGGTTTCAACATCCTTACGCTTTAGTACATCTCTATATAAATCCCTCTTGGTCTTAATAGCCTTTTGAACTTTCTCACTCCACCACTAGGTTTCTTTCCCAGGGGGGCCTTTACCTCTAGATTCCCCTAGTACCTTCTTTGCCACTTTTCTAATGTAGCTGGCCATGGCATCCCGCATAGTATGTACATTACCTACATATGACAAAGTAGCCTCATCTAACAATTTCTCTTTAAAGGCCAATTACTTTATTCCCTTCAAATGCCACCAAGGAGTTCGTGGGAGGTGGTTTATCTTAATCCTTTTATTGCAAAGCTTAATGCTCACATCTAAGATCATATGTTGGGTGGCTAGTACTTCTCCGGGAATTACTTTACAATCCTTACATAAAGAACGATCTCTATACCTGGTGAGGAAATAATCTGTCTGGCTTAAGTTCATTCCATTCTTAAAAGTTATCAAGTGAGAATATCTTTTCTTGAAAAATGTGTTTGTTATGATAAAATCATGTCCCAACGCAAATTTCAAAATAGATTTCTCTTCTTCGTTTCGAGCTCCAAGACCAAAACTACCATGGATCATTTCCAAGTTTTCCCTATCCTTACCAACATGGCCATTGAAATCTCCTCCAATGAAAATGCTATCCTCATTGTCTATACGACACACGAAGTCATCCATGTCTTCCCAGAACTTGACTTTAGTTTCCGCATCCAATCCTATTTGTGGAATTAAGCACTAATTACATATATGGACTTATTTCCTGGCACCAATTTGAGCATAATAATTCTATCCCCTATTCGCTTAATCTCAACTACGTCATCCTTCACAGTTTTGTCCACTAGAATACCAACTCCATAATCTCCTTTGCTTTCTCTCCTGTCCACTTCGTTTTCTGTAAGCATAAAATGTTAATTCTTCTTCTTACCATAACATCTACTAACTCCATAAATTTACCAGTTAAAGAACCTACATTCTAACTACCTAAATGAATTTTCCTATCATGGGCTAGCTCTGCCCCTTGCACACGTCCATGAATGTGCAAGGACCCCCCTTGCATATTTTTCACCATATCCGGGGCCCGACATGGCACATGGGTTCCCTTTTCTCCCCGCACCCGTCCATGAATGTGCGAAGACCCCCCTTGCCTATTTAACACTATACCCGGGGCCCGGCATAGCGCGTCGCACGTAGGGAACGCCCCAACAGATTCTATGTGAGTGAAATCCATAAGAGTGACTTATTTTTACGCTAGCCGTCAACCTACCGCAACCCTCCTCCTTTACCCGGGCTTGGGACCGGCTTTACAAACGCATAGACGGAGTTAAAGGAGGTTATTCAGATTATGCAGCTCCAAATATCAACACCGAAGAAGGGACCACAAGAATCAATCAAAGGCACGACCAAATCTGTCTGGAGGAGGGACCGAGAAAGGGAAATGAAAAATTTGGAGTTTAACGTCCAGTATGATAAGAATGTTAATGGGGCTGTTGATGGTCATAGATGAAGCTGATGTCATGGAATATTAGATGAGGGAACTATTTGAAAAGAAGAGGAGTTAGGGAGGTGGTTTGCAAGGAAAACCCAGATGTTCTGATTTTTCAAGAGGTAAAGACGGGAGGTAGATAGAATGTTTGTAGGAAGCATTTGGCAGTCTAGATTTAAAGAATGGGTTTTATTACCAGTAGTGGGTCGATTGGGGGAATTTTTGTAGTGTGGGACGTTAGGCGGATTAAAGTGGTGGAGAGTTTGTTGGGGGATTTCTTGGTGACAATAAAGGTGGAAGAAGGAGATTTTTGGTGGTTATATGAAGTATACGGTCCCAATCATTACAACAAAAGAAGTCAGTTTTGGGATGAATTGGCTGGTCTTTGGAGTTTGTGTGGGCAAAGATGGTGTGTTGGTGGCGATTTCAACATTACTAGGTTTCTTTCGGAGAAGTGTGATAGCGACCGAATCACTAGAAGCATGAGAATCTTTGACGAATTTATCAGAGACTTAAATTTGTCCTACCCACCTA